CACCTTAACTTTCGGCCATGAAACTGGCACGGGATTGTTCATTGCGGACCACGCTCCCTTCCCATAACGTCTTCTGCATTTTCACATGGCATCGCGGACCGCTCTTTTGAGTCAACAGCATAACCTCGTTCGAACCCGAACTGGCACAGGACTGTTCACTGCCCCCACACCTATCAAGCGACTTACAGTCACTGAACCACATTCCGCTGCTTATAATACTAGCATGCTCTAATCGGGAGACGGCTAAAATCATCGTAATTTCCTGCGCCGTCGAACGCGGCGCAACGCGCGGCGGTGGGCGCAGCAGTTCGAACTTGCAGGACGACAAATACGCTAGCATCCCCAGCTTGTGACTCACGTCCTCTACTCGTGGAAAAAGCTGACATTAGGACACCGTATGCGCGACTACCCAGTTGCCGCATGCGGCAGCTGACCACGCCTAACTTTTCCGCTGGTAGAGGGGGGGGTCGTATTTGGCCCTTGGGAGAAGGGGTCGTATGTGCCTTTAAGAGAAATTAGCTGCGTTGGGGAAAATTCTTCCCTGTTGTTGACTTCTCGTGTGATTTTTACTGTTTCATGTGTATCGACTACTCGACTTTTACTGTGACGCTCGACGGAAAACCTTTGGGTGAAAAAACTGGAATATGTGGGAAATTGGTGTTGGGGAAGGGGTGGTCGTACCAAGACCCTCTTCTAGGTGGGGGGGGGGGCGTGCTGACAGCCTCTCTCGGAAGGGGAAGGGGGTCGTACGTACACCAATTTCACACATCGCGATGCTGTACCCTGTATGAAGCGCCAAGGCAGACACCTTCACATCTAATTTGTTGTACGATTAAGAACTGACAATCCAGAACAATCCAAAAATTAGCCTCGAAATATTTGGGACACATTAAAAGGATACTGAAAATAGAAATGCATCGCCTTTTCGACAATAAAAAAAACTTTGCTAGTTACTTTCGAATACAAAAAAGAAGGGAGAACCTTCAACTTCTTAATCACCCACTCACTTTTTAACTGACTGTTTTCGTTGAAATATGCCTGACAACGAGACTCCAACGTGTCCATGTACTCCTTACGTTTGCGGCGAGATTCTTGAGCAGACAACTGCAATACAGGTGTTATAGCGGGGGAGCGCCATGCCAATATGGGTCAAAACTAAGCGATAATGCGACAGCTGAAGCGACATGAATGCCAATAACAGCGACCGTTGCCACGTCTAACATCAGCTATCGATTGTCACTAGCGACAAAAAAATGGGCTTTCAATAGAAATTGCCTAAATCGTTCAGGTTTTATGACAAGTGGGGGCTCGAATTGGAAAACTATCGCCTGATTGTCCAACATTCGTTAGACTCGATGCTACAAAGCAACTAAACAGAGCTCTACCAACCTTGTTCTTGATCTTTCTTCGCACAATTTTCAACGATTCTTCTTCCGCTTTCGAGAGAGGAAGACGAGTGGGAACCTGGAAGTATGATGGACACTATCTCTCTTTAATGAAAAATAAGTTCTCCATGATGTAATGCCAGTATGAACAACAGCTTTAGAACGTCTAATTACCGGATAGCCCTCTTGGATGAGTGTTCTTCTTTCCTCGGCAGACAGTTGGACCAGTCCCTGGCTGCGAGGGTCCTGAAAATAGACCAGTTCAAACTAGGAATCATTTATCTTCTATTGAGTGCAAGAACTGAAAGTTCAGATAGTTTGCAGGAGCAGGGCACATCATTGGTTGGGGATTTTAGTCGAATCTGTACGATCTCCCCTTTTTTAGGGGTTGGTACGACCCCCCCCCCTCCCCTGCGGCCCTCTGTCCGTCCTCATCGAATCGAGCCAGGTGGGGATGGGTGAATAGCATATGTGAAACAGGAAATAGGAAGAGCCGCGAGACAATAGGACTACCCCCCCCCCCCTCTACCATTCAGATTTTCCCCAACTTCCTGCCACTTTTTCAAAATCTTCCGAGAAGTCCCCTACTTTTCCCCAAAAATTTTGCTGTCGAGGGGGGGGACGCATGAAACAGGAAAATCACAAAAAGTCAACCACCACTCCTAGAAAGAGCAGAAAGTAAATACGACCCCTCCTTCCCAACAATGAGTAAGTACGCCCCTCCCCCCAACGGCCGTGAAGCGAGGAAAATCAACTATCAAAATAAATTTTTCCCAGCCCAAATACGACCCGACTATCCTGGCGGCCAAATACACCCCCCCTCTATTAGGGATTCCCCAACAAAGATGTGCCCTGTAGAGTAGTCCACGTTCAAGCGCAACTGGGCCTGCTCATCTGCGCCCTCGTACTGAGATAGCGATCACCTCCCCCTTGAAGCTTTCGAGATCGGAGGACGACTCCGCTGAAAAGGGTTTGTCCGCTAGTCGGGGTTCAAAGCCGTGGCGTGCCCTTTAATTTTTAAGTCAGACGAATAAGTGAAGGCGTTGTCCAGCATTAAATTTTGTATGATGGAGTAAAGGTGGGGGGGGGTTTTCCCTTTTTGAAAGGTGCTCCATACTCTGTTTGCTAGCAGAGGTCCATGTCCATGAGATGACGATTAGATCCTCGTGCTCACCCAATTTTTTGCTGTTTTTTATTGCAGGTGTCGAGCAGAGTAAAAAGAGAGCTTTGATAAACCTTTTTGTAGCAGAAGCAGCTCGAAGTGATGACGTATACGGTCAAGGAACACTTTCTCGTAGAACCGCTTAAATGCACGTTTCGCGTTGATTAGACGTGTGTGCTTGGTAGTTATAGCTGATATCGCAGCAATAAATCGGGGTGGTTCCAAAAGATTCAACTGAGGCCGGCGCCCGCTCAATTCTTACCATCATTGATCGATCAGTGATCGAGGGAGAACCAGTTTGATAGCTTGCGCCGCGACCAGGGCTCATTGAATCCCTTCGGAACGTCTTTACTGAAGGCATTCTATCAACCGTAGGTTCTGCTATAGTAGGGTGTCTGTAAATTTTACCTGTAGCTCGAAAAACGTGATAACGACGCCACCGATGCGCACGTGAGGCAGGTCTCCGCTATCACGCGACCGGTACAACACCACCGAATATCATTTTTAAAGGATTTCCTAGATGTCCGCGTTTGTTTGCTGCTACTTTACATTCCGAAATGGTCCCATGTGACGTATAAGCCGAAAAGAAGTCATCGATTTAACACCAACGCAATTAAGGTCAGTCCAGCACCGCCCAGCTCTTGCATTGTGTACAATTCTTGCCGGCACGGGCGACTTATTACTGGGCTGTTTCGGGTTTTGTCTTCATTTGTGAGTTGATTTCGACTCTTGCATTGGTTTACTGGAGCTCAGAAACCATGAGCGGAGACAAAAACAGCATGCAAGTCAGCTCATGACTACACATTTTCCTTTCAGAATCTCTCCCATCAGAGTAGAGTGTGTAAGCTGTGATGCTTAGCTAGATTGTTAGTCCACAATCTCGACCAGTTTCCCATGCTCGCCGTGGGTTTTAATAAGCTGATTCAACGGCAATCGGTCTCAGTAAGGCGTGCACTGGTGACGCGGCGTCTGCAAGGCCAAAATGAACCTTTGAGGGGATGAGGTCTTAACCACCAGTCTTCGCGACTAAAAACTTCACAAATGAGCATTGTTCCACGTTCATTTGCTGTTCAGACGCCTTTCTCGGACATAGTGGTTTGTCCGCGATCCTGCGGGATTTACTACTTCCAGCTAGAAGATGTGCCGAGCGAAAAGCGCGACCGCTCACGAGGAACTATCGCGCCTGCCCGATTGGCTACCGCAACGCCCAACTTCCATTTTCAGCTTTTTTTGCTAGATGATGCCGTGGTTCTTCCGCTACGAACTCTCTCCTGACACTCTCCATTACGGACGGTCACAGTGGGATGATAGGGGAAAAACCTGACACATAGTCTAAACTGAAGGGTAACATTGTCACAAATAATCTATCTGAGTGGCGGCTTTCAATGAAATCCAACGCTCCTACCTGGTTGACTCACAGTTCGCCCTAAAGTCAACTCTTTTGCGGCAGTCAGGTGCGAAGGTATCAACTACTTGTTAGTCATAATTTCAGTTATACAAACAATTCTTTCAGAGTTAACAATATACTCGCCAAATTCTCCACAATAACAATAAAAATTTCTGGCAATATACTAGGGAGACAGGGAAAGCTTCCACACTCCCTGCATCAGTATGACCGCTGGACGGCACTGCCATCTCGTGCATCTTACTCCGTGATTTCAGCTGCTGCTGCGCTGCCGACAGACTATTGACCATACCTGTAAACGATATATCACAGATTATTGATTTTGCCTACTGATGCGAAATCACATTCAAATCACCACCGATGAATTCACATTACTTTACTAACGTAACTCCAGCATTACCAGCAAATGAGAGTGGAAGCACGTATGCATACCGTACCACGTTTGTTCATCACCATTCCGCTCTGCTAGGCGAACTACGCTCAGATTTTGGGTGGTCAGATGGGTGGCGATCTCAAGACGCTGATGATAGCACGTAAGCATTCAAGAGAAAACTTCCTTATTGTTATTATCGCTAGGTAGTAGATTTGTGAGTGAAACTTGATTTGGTGTTGTTATTGGTATGTTATCACTTGGTTTCCAGTGCTTTCAGCACTCTTCCGAATGCCTTCTGTAGACTTTAGATACGCCCGTTGTGATGATCATAAGGGAGTCGTATTTGACTGCGAGGGAGGGGGGATCGTATTTGGTCGTTGTTGGGAGAAGGGAAGGGACTGCAAAAACACCTATAACGCTCACTATTTTCCGATAATTGAAAAAATAGTCATGAATGCTGCCACCTTCCCGCCCCTCCTCCCGTACGGCTCGACGAAAAATTTTTGGCTGAAAAACTGGAATATTTTTTTTGGAAAGTGGAGGAAGCAGGTAGGTAGCATGGAGAGGGGTCGTATTTGAGGATGGAATCAGGGGGGTCGTATTTTTCGAGAAATGATCACAACGCGATGGCGTGCCCTGTGAAGACTTCGTTTTCAATTGACCAGGGTGTAGGGTGAGATGTGTGATTTAACAGGGTCTAACAAAAGATACTAGTAAAGGTGCCAAATATCCACACTAAGCCAAACAGCGCGCCACTCATTATAAGAATGTTGAGTTATTGTCAAAAAGCAGGACTCGAGCTTGGACTTCACGCGTACATACTGTGCCAGTGAGCTCAACATTGTACCGCACAGGTTGCCTTCTACTACCCACCGTCTAGGATTGTCGGAGCCAGAAAGCGACGCCATAGGCATGGCTGCATGCGTCAAGACAGTCGTTATATGCCGCCTAGTGGGAGTGGCGAACGACGCCGCACGCGGCAGACGAGTGGTCCTGCCTGGCCTTGCGAACCCAAGTGCTGAAGGAACGCGACAAGTCACAATTGTCTTGCCCGTCTCCCGGTGTGCCGATCTCCTGCTCTCCGCGACAGCGAAGAATGCGGGAAAGGGGGCCAACCAATGACGTCGTTTCCCGGCTCCACCCACTCGGCGAGTCCGGTGTCTTTAATGGTCCTTAACTGCATAACTGCTCAACCAAGTTATGAGGGTTGAAGTTAGTAGATAGTTTATGTAGTGTAACGGTTGCCACACCAGCGCAGTGTGATGAGCATGAGGTCCAGTTTCGAGCACTGACTGGATCTGAGCGCTTTGCTCATTCTTCAGTGTTCCTGTAATGATTTTCGCTTCGCAAACTGCGGCGACAGGCAACATCGGTCATGATAGGACGAACCAGGAAACAAAGGTTAATTATTCAATCAAAATCAAATAACAAACCATCGAAGAATGTTATGGTTTCCTGCGGCCCAACGCCATTGAAAGGTGTCATAGGAGGCGGCACATGATGCATTGAATGAGAGGAAAATGTTTGCTGAGGAGGTGGTTGGTGTTGGTTGCGTTGGACACGCTGCTGAAGGGGTTTTCAATAATCTTTCCGGACTCTCAAAAAAAAGAAGAATACAACAAGTACCTCCTGGGGGTGAGGAGCCATTTGGTGCGAGAACTGGCTGACCGGTGGAAGCGGGCTGTGCTGTTGTGTGATGCTACCGGATGATAGCATCTGCGAATGGACTTCTGAAAAATGTACAGCCTGGGAGGCAGGCTTTGATATTGAATTGCATGTGCTTAATCGAATCTCAGCTCAAAAATACGTGAGGAAAGCGCGACGGACTGCGACGGAACCACTGCTCCGCCTACTGATCAAGGCGACGTCCAACACTCATTTTGAATTGCTACCTGTGTGTGGCCGCTTCGCTCCTAAACCTCTCCATGAGAATGATGAGAGTTCGGTGAAAAGAAAGAAATATAGTCGGGCAGCAGGAACAGGCGGAAACTAGTCCGACCACGCCCTTACTTCTTATACAAGCGCGGCAAGCATGGGTTCTATATCGGGCAAGTCGGGCGCTTTTTTTTCTGCTCTTTTCATCTATTTTGTATTATTTACCATCTTGTGGTCATTGGTTGAGCCCACAAGGCGCCATCTGAGGCGCACGCCATGCTCTCAATAGTGTGGGACGATGTGCGCGTGGCTTCAAGTGCACCAGCGCGCCATTTGTAGAAGCTGCCTCACCCACATGGATCGAGACATGCCAGTGCTCCTTGATCTATAAAGGCAGTTTATAAAGACGTATGTGTGACGAAGGGAGGCCATTCTGTGTAGGGCCAAGATTCGTCGTCTATTTCGTTCTTCACGGTGCATCTTCTGCGATCTTCCTCCTCTGTCATACGCGTCTCTGGGCGCAGTTCGGTGACAAGGTGTGGGCATTTTGCACTTTCGCTGCTTCACTAGTTCCGGTTTACAAGTCTTACCTGGTGAAACCTGTGCACCTCTGAAGTGAAGCTAGTCGAGCCACGACTGTGAAACCTGCCAACTCTTGCAAGCTCATGAAAAGCTCCCTAGATGGGTTGAGACGTCCACGAGACGCAGAAGAAGTACAAAATGCTCCTCTCGTCTTCGGCTTCTAGCCCGCGGAGCAGTTTCTCGCTTCTTGGAATGTGCGGGAGCTTTCAAGTCCCACCTAAGGCGCCGTTGACGGTTCTATTCCCTTTTTCCTTCACTGGCAGACCGATCGCGGGTTCATGTTGGTCCCCAAAGCCCACGAATTGTAATAACACGCTTCGTCTTCAGAGACCATTGAATTCACATAACTGAATGCGTTGATGCGCCTGACGTAAAGCCATTGTTTTCCTATTTACCCCTTTATAGGTTATATAAATACAGGTTTTTACAAATACAACGTAGTGTACACAATGAATCTCGAATTATTCATCTTGTTACCGAAATAATTTAGCCCAGTTCTGAAATACACAAGTGATCGCATGATCACAGTGATCGCCACCAAACAGCGCAGTGATCACCACTAAGCATGGCGTCGGTAAATTCAAACATTTTGGCCGTTTACAGTTCACAGTCACACATCCTAGCGAAGTTTTTTGAATTCTGGCCAGCCCTTTGGTTTGGCCTAATCTTCCCAGACTTTTTTCTTTTCATTTTCAACGAAAAAATTATCTGTGAGCAAGAGCGAGTAACAGCTTAGAAGCAGTAAATCAACAGGGTGGATAGAGCACAATGACTGGAAGAGTTTTATGCGATTTGTATGATTACAACCCCCACCTCAGCAGCCGGCCCCTTCGGATAACCAGCTATCACATTCTTGAAGACATACAGGAATAAAAAAGTAGCGTCTTCACTGTTGATCAATTTCTTTCTGGAAATGCAGCACACATTCTACTTCCAATCAGAACGTAGTGGCTCACTGAATACGAAGTGGCCTATACAATGACCTGCAGGGGTCAGAGGATGTTCTCCCGAACGAATTTGGCAACCTACCAATCTACCATTCCCGGGATCCAACCCGAGATTTGCTCCCCGGACCAAGGCAAGCGTTCCACGCGCCACTATACCACCTCCGCCTCAGGACCAGTAGTAACAGTCAAAGTGAACAATTGCAATTTTTCGGCTGTTTCAGAGTTTGACATGCAAATTCGTTTCAAATTTCAGGAGCCGGCAGTAACTAAGCTTCATTCTCAACCACCTATCAGCCTAATAG